CGACTAGTCCACTGCAGCCCGTCGACCAACCAGCCTTAGGTTTTTGGTGTTTGGCCGCCAAAGGGGAGAGGGTTCGAGTATGTAGTCTCAGGGGGAGAGACTTTTAGGGGGAGCTAGTTATCTATTATTAGCTTATTTTATACATTTGGAGTTTCATTTGTGTGATACACTATTACTTTTATGCATTCGTGTGTTACTTTCATGCATATTATTATACCTATGTGATAGTGATATCTACGTAATTGTGATATATGACATGTGTGCTCTCTACTTTACATTATTTATATGTCATATCACTTGTGCTATGCTCATTTGCCTTTGCTTCCGCGTTTATACTCCGATGCAAATGAGCTTTGTTACTTGTACTCAAGCTTATTTCATATTTTTTGAGTACATCGTGTTGGCTTGGGTCATATAAGCTTGCCTCATTCTTTTGTTCTTATTGACAAAAGCTTATATGAACCAAGCCCGTCAAAAACTCACTTTTTCACATACTCGAGGTGGTATTGTCATCAATCACCAAAAAGAGGAAGATTGAAAGCATCTAGGCCTCTTTGTTGGGTTTCGGTGATTAATGACAATACAAGATTACTATGACTAATGTGTGTTTTGCAGAGGCAATTAAGTTAGGTCATGGTAATGGAGATCGATTGGGCAATCGAGGTGGTCATGCCCCTACGATGGAAATCGTTTCGGTTTTTAAAGGATGGACGACAAGGTTAGGGATGACTAGTTCTAAGTGTCGATTGGAGTTGGAGTGACACTTAGAGTAGTTTAGGACTTTGTTTTTCCTTTGGCCGTACTATTAAGGGGGGTATGGACGAGTAGCTTGACCTAGATGAGTCTAGTGAGTTAGGTATGGTGCACACTTGTTTAAACTAGCTCTAGGTAGCTCCTACATGTGCCTAAGATCCAATGGAGCAAACTTCATTCACACATGATCGAGAGTTGAAGGTGAATGGAGGGTCAAATACTGACCGGATGCTGGCCGCAGGGTCCGGTCAGTTCATTTGATCAAGAGATTGCGTTCGGTGCGACCGGAAGCTGGAGTGGTCAAGTGACCGGATGCTGAGAGACAGCATCTGGTCGACTCTAGTAAGGTTCCAGAGAAGGGAATCTACGACCGGACCCTGGGGGTTCATCGTCCGGTCGAGTACAGTAAGGTTCCAGTGAGGGTTTAATGCGACCGGACACGTCCGGTCAGTGGTGACCGGACCCTGACAGCGTCCGGTCAACACATTATCACTGGTTTGCGAGTAGAACTGACCGGAGCGTCCGGTCACCCCGCAGAGGCACATAACGGTTCGTTTTTCAGCCGCTGTTATAAATACTTCACCCCTTCGTGTGAGGGGGTACTTTTGCTCATTCCAACAGCTGAGAAACACATTTGTGAGTGCCAAGAAGAGCAAGGTCCTAGTGAGGTGTTTGTGATTTGAGAATCCAAGACAGTAGCCTCATTAGTGAATCAAGAGTAACAAAGTGTGCATCCACCGTTCTCATTAGGCTTCGCGTGGTCAAGTGAGAGTTTGTGCTTGTTACTCTTGGTGATCGCCATCACCTAGACGGCTTGGTGGTGATTGAGAGCTTGGTGATCACCCGGCGGATCTTGTGGGTGACTCAACTCAAGTTGTGAGCGGTTTTGGGTGATTCGCTGCGACGGAGTGTCGAATAATCAACCAGTAGAGAGCACTTGATCCTTGCGCGGATCAAGGGGGAGCTACACCCTTGCGCGGGTGCTCCAACGAGGACTAGTGGGGAGTGGCGACTCTCCAATACCTCGGCAAAACATCGCCGCGTTTCCTCTCCTCTCTTTACTTTGAGCATTTATTTTAAGCATTAGTTTGAGCAATTCAATTCTTATCATTTACATTCCTAGAATTGCCATGGTAGAGTAGTATTGGAACTTATGTTGCAAGTCTCTTTGTGCGATAGAACATTACAAACACTCTCTAGGCACAAGGGGCTAATTGGGCCATCAATAGGATTTAATTATTACAAGAAAATTTAGAATTAGCCCAATTCACCCTTCTCTTGAGTATCTTGATCATTTCACTGTAGAGAAGCCGACCTCCGCCGCCACCGCGATAAGCTCTGGTGTGGATGGACTCCAAACCTCTGCAGGAGCCGCAAAAGGATCTGGCGTGGATGGGTTCCCTTCTTCTTCTACAATGATCTCCTCATCGACTTCCTCATCTGATTCATCCGAATCCATGTTTCCACGCCAGAACTTGGAGGATGGAAACTCCATCCCGTGCTTTGCCGGTGGCTTAGAGCAGATCGCTGCCACGGATTCCACAATTGCAGATAGTTCTGCCCTTGCACTTGTGTAATCCGCGTCCAAGAGGCTGTCCTTGATGACGCTCGATGAGGGCAGCCGAGGCCTTAGCTTTGCCTTGATCGCCGGAGCTAAGGTCAGCCGCCGCCTCATGCATCGCTGTCCTCAGAGCATCAATGATGCTCCTGCCAGGCGCCTAGATCAGAACCTTCTTGCTGAGTACGAGGCGATTGTGCTCCGGGACGGCGAGCCGATTAAAGACTTCGCGTTGCACCTGACGGGGATTGTCCAACCAGGGGCAGCACATTCCTATGCATCACGGTGGTGCCGACACTTTCTTCTCTACAAGGAACAATAAATAATAAAGATAAAAAGTAGGGTTAAATACAGCACAACAGTTTGGCCAGATTTGGAATGAGACCTACCTCCAATAGTTTATGGTTAATACTACATACATAGGAGAATGAAGACGGCAGGGTAATTAATTGCTAGACAACTTCCATTAGTCCAGATGAGCAATCTTGGATCAGATCAGAAATGGAGGTGGCCTAGTGGACACAAGTTAGTCTATTTGTGATGTTGCTTCTGTCCGGCTTGCTACAGAGCTAGATTCATTTGTTACACATATAAGTTATGTCTAGACACATATATAGTAAAAACTATGTATTTATAAATACCAAAAATATTTTATAATTCGGAACGGATGGAGTGGCATGTTCTTGGTTGTCGTTACAAGGAAGGCAACACCAGTAGCCGTAGGTGGTTGTTTATAATGGACAGTCAGTGGCTCAGTGCACAGCAAGAAGCCTGAAACGATCTCAAAAAAAAAAAAAAAGCAAGAAGCCTGAAACAACTGTTGATACAGCTCAAACTGCCCTCTCTCTATTACAGTAGCCGTATCACAGCCTTAGCCTTTACGACTGCATGTGGCTTCTCTTTTTCTATACTGTATTATTCTGCCTTTTTCTCAAGAACATATTCAAGCTAAAAAAAATTAAAGGCAAAATTAGAAAGGAGGAAATGCCAAATTCCTCTTGCATGGAACTGGAACGCCATCGAAGACGATGGTGACATCTCGCTTGTGCTAGCTTAGCACGGACCACGCCAGGCCATCACGGTCATGGATCCAGCCGCAGCCATCATGGGTATAGATAGCTCCTCTATCTCAAAACTCAGAACAAAACAAGGCCAAAATTCGGAGCGTTTTCCACCCAGAAAACAGACCAAACTTGGGACGAGAATAAATGCCAGGAGAGGAGGCAAATGATCCAAGCCCCACAAAAGAATGGAGCATGGTGTATATATATTCTCCAGCACAGAAAAAAGACAATCGAACAGGACCATAGTAGTTCCTATCTTCGTAGAAGTATCAACAACACAAGTGTCCAAGGCTTTAAAAAACTACCACTACTTGCAAAGATACCAACGTCGTCCGTGACCAATACCTGTATGTCGCTTTAGGTTAGGCCATAAGCAATTTTCATACTTCCAGTCTGCCACGGAGTAGGATACACGTGTTGTATTCCCGGGCTAAAGCTGAGGCTCAATGTATTGTCGTACTAACCCACGACATTTGCGAAATGGAGAGCAGCTCGCCGGCCTTCGCCCATGGCGTCGTAGGCCCGCGCGTGGTTTATTAGGTCGATTTCGATGGATCCTAAGGATGTCTTAGCCAAAATGTAGCCCCTTGAGTTATCAGTCGGGCCGGGAACGGCCTCTCTTGTATTTTTAAAACTTCTATCTCCTTAATATAATGATACGCAATGCTCTTGCGTATTCGAGAAAAAAACGTCATACGAACTATCATCAATGGAAGAAAAAAACATCATACGAACTATCATCGATGGAAGTATAGAACCAAGTTCGTACCTGCCTAGAACTACTCAAACGTTTTGGCTTTTTCAAGATACATAATTTTTGTTTGTTACGTACTTAAATATACACTATGTTTAGATATATAATAAAAACAATATATATATTTAGAAAAGCTAAAACATCTTCTAATTTAGATGGAATGGAGAGAGTATGTACTAAAAATTGGCAGCATTGGGCAATTTCTTATTCCTACGCGCTTGTCAAACAGGAGTAGGGCACAGACCTATCCTTATGACTGTTCCCGTAACAGGAGTACGGCAAAGACCTATCCTTATGACTGGTTCCCGTTAGATTCCATAACAATTTGCCATAATTGTAACACAAGTTTGCTATCCCATTGTCCATCGAGGTGAGGAGTTCTGACGCACCACCACATGTCTAAAAACAAGCATGACTACAGGCTACGCCGTTCGTCTGATGACTAAGCAAGGTGTCTAAGATTCAACTGATTCAATCAAACAATACATATATTGGACAAAATATCTCAATCTGCGGTATATGCTAATGTGCCACATGACTAGTTCAGCTAGAGGTTTCAGAAGGTTCTACATCACAGACAAATTACAGCTTAAAATACAGTAAAAACAGGGGAAAGAGTTTCCACCTTGTCCCCAGGAAATTACTCTGAGTGAGTGACGTGTCAAGCACTTCAGTACTGCTCTTAATCACATTATTGAATATAGACCTTTGCAGTATCCTCATGTTCTACTTCTAGCCCTGCGCTCTGGATAGCAAGCCAGAGAACGATACGGGGTTGTTCCTCATTTGTTCTTGAGCTTGCTTCATCTCCTCAGGATCTTCCATGAAGAAAAGTAAACTCAGTTAGGCAGATATAGAAATGAAATCAATATTAGCATTTCAAATGCTGAAGAAAACTATGAAACTGAAGTGCAACTGTACTTCCAGCATTAATGATAACTAAAACATCCCACAATCGATAACTGAAAAGGGTTATCTACATAGAACCACTTTACAAGCTCTAGGGGGCACATACGATCAATAATAGCAAGTACATCATGAGGCCTACAACTGACAGGATCATAGGAAAAAACAGCTCCCGAAGGTTTCTCTCAAGTGAATTTGGGAGATGCCAACATTGTCAACTTACTGTACTGAAATTTTAAGATGAAACACTGAAGTATATAGGTTGCGGATAACAATGAACTAAATATAAATAATGTGTTTCACAGGTACAAGACAGATAGTAGAAACATAAGTTTTAGATAAAGAAATTCATCACCAAAACATTATTTAAGGCCCATTTCATTAATACTTACAGAAAGGACAGATTATAACCAAGAAATTCAGAAGCACGACAGTATAAACTAATAAACTTGATGCCCTTCTTACTCTAGAATTTTGACAGTCAGCTGTTGCACAGAGCTCAATAAATACAACTAACTCTACCATTATATAATGCAACACTGCTCTTAGTCTTAGAAGCTGCTGTTTGCTCATTGCAAGCTTTAGTGAAACATACTAACTGAAATCTTGTATCCATTTGATGTAAAAGAGGTGAAATATACCTATGTTCTCCATCAGCTTGGGCATCACGAAGACCATTAAGACCATAAAACCAACCATCAACCCCATGGGGCTCTTCAAAAGTGACATGACGGAGAAAGGCTCCCTAACCTTGAAAAGGTTGAAAAACAAAACATTTAAAGAGGTTGCTTCTTTTAGCCCAAAGCAAAAGGAATAGGCTGGATCAAACCCAACATGGGCCACCAGTGAGAAGTGAGGAAACAAGTATACAAAAAATTATGCATCAACAGCTACCTCATAGTACTGCTCTTCTTTCAGAGGTTCCAGAACAAGCTCATTTAGGACTCTTCTGGTTTCAGTCAATGCTGCTTGAATATAACCAGGATTCCTTGCACTGATATCTACTCGAACCTATCATACACCAGAAATATGGAGTAAATTACTTATATCCATTTCTGTTCACCATACCAACGAAATCAAGGAATAAATACTTACTGGGGAAAAGAAGTAACCAATCGAGGAGACCTCAATAAGATGAGTTCCAGCTGGAACGTTGTGGCTAAAGTATATCAGGTCAAGGAGCAACAATAAAGAAAACATAATGATCTGCTAACACTGAACTATGATTGTATACAAGGAAAGATATACCCAAGAGCAGACAAGAATTGATGGTATGCACATGATGAGAGCTACAGTTCTTTGCTTAGTACACTATACCCATCTCTCGACATAAAGTTTACCAACAAACGGATAAATGTATGATAGTATGAGCTGTATCAGTCTAATAGGTTAATTTGCCAGAAAAATAAAAATAAACTTGAAACATATGGCAATGCATCTTTTGTAGGATACAATGCAAAGTAACCATCTGGCCTTGCAAATGTAACCCTCTGGCATACATTAAGTATCACTTTTGTATTTGATGTCTTGGCTGGAAGACCAAAGCCCTTCACTCGCTACTATAGCCATAACACAAAGATAACATCAGATGAACAGCATGGGATAGTAGCTTTCAGCTTGAAATTTAGGTTCCAAGCATGCTTGACGGTGCAATAAACCTCTAAATGAACAAATCCTACACCGAAAATCCCATAACTATATCCATAAGCTATAAGTACTCTCAGGGAACAAGACACATACACACCATCCATTCCATTGTTTAATTTGTGTCAATTTTGGATTACTTCCGACAAACTTTATCAGAAGCATTGGTCAGAACATCATAGCAACACATCCACACATCAAGAAAACTACTTTAGTGGTGCAGAGAGATAGAGGCCGAACAAAAACATATCAGAGCCCCTCCAATTGCAGGCACCTTGTAACACCTCGGGTGTTACGAGCTGACTTAGCACCTAAGTTAAGGTCTCGGAGAAATCAAGCCGAACGGGTTTTCGAATTTTTAACAAGTTAGAACACGTATGAAACGGGAAAGCGATCTCGGTAAACAAAAACAAGATACAACTTGTGTATAGTGTTTATGTAAAATGATGAGCGAATAGGGTAGATAAGAATGCAACTGTAATTTTCGGAAGTGAATATTGTAACTAGGGTTTTTGGGAGCTCAAACATCGAATCCGTGATTTAACGGGAACTTTCGTTGAATCGGCAAGAATTTGGATTGTGTTTAAAGTATCATTTTTGACGAATTAAATTGAGTAAAATAGTTAAAAGGTGCTCAGATGTTTTGCTCCTATGGGTTAGTAGGAAGTATGGGCTATTGCAGGGAGTACGGGTTGGTCGAGGTTAATAGGGTTAGGCCTTTTAGAAATTAGGGCAAAAGTGTTAAAAGTTGCTTAGCTCCAATAGAAGCTTTCGACTTTTCGAAGTCGGAAAAAGGAAGTAGACAATGTCGTTTTGACATCCAAATTCTAACAAAAATTGTTAGGCACCAACTTCACGCTCTTGTACTTTGTTGGTTGTCCCCGGGTGTGCACTTGAGCATGGCTTAGGTGGGTAGTGGTGTTGGGTGTTACGATACCCTCGTAATTTGCTCTAACTTCGTTAAAACGCGGTATGCAATCGTGGTCGTTGGCGCCCGTTCATGAACGGACGTTCGAGCGATGAGCCCATGTTGGCATACATCTATCTTCTCCTCGAGTTGCTCCTCGCTCTTGGTGATTGCTTCACCGATAGTTGGCACCTTTGGTCATAGGATAGGGAAATTAGTTGAACTTCATCCGGATCGTTAGCGCTTTTGGCTCGCTTTAAAAACCGTGCTTAGCACCGCTGGTCCCATGGGCGCGGTCACCATCCGAGCGCTTGACGTTGCCATTGCCGAAGTTCCAATCGTGGGTCGGGCCATCACCGTACCGCTTGACTTCTTCATTGGTCGACGCCAGCACGGCTTGCCCTCGGCGACGGCCGGTCCCAACCGGGCTCATGATCGTCCATTCATTGCTTGACGCTGGCACCTTCGCCAGACGATCGTCAGCATGGCCGCTTGGTTGCGGTACGCATCGCGCGATCGACGTGGTGCTCGCCCCCGCCCTACCTACCCCGCCTAGTCCTTAAGCCGGAACCTTGCTTGTCGTGGACGAGTCGAGGGCGAGACGCAATGGCGATGGGGCGCTTCCACCTGCCTGCTTTGCCCATGCTTAGCCGACACAGCGATCTCGCTGGTCCCGCCGGCTTTGTTGCTATGAACGTCGCGCCAAGCCGCTGGTCTCGTCACTGTGTGCACGAGCTCGCTCTGCCACCGGCCGGAGCCCCGCTTTACACGCGCCCTACCGCCGAGCTCACCCAAGATGCTTTTCCCCACGACGTGGCCTCGGCTGGGCACCACGCCCGCCTTTCAAATTCGCTTAGCCCATGGTTTCTCAACCCATCTCCTCACGTCGATTAAGTAGCGAGGAGAGCTAGCTAGCCGCCTCAATCAGATCATCGCCACGGTAGAGTCCTACGCGCGACAATTTGGTGATTAGCCTGTCAGGCCATGTTACCGCCGTGACCTTGGACCGGAGAGAGATAGGATTGAGCGGTAATAGTTCAATTGCTTGTGGCTCTGAACTCGCCGCCTTGACTCACGCCCTCTGGTGCTCGCGCATGTTTTGGCGTGAAGCTCACCATCGGTGCAATGCGCTTGCGCCGTGCAGCGCTTCGGAATGTTGCATTGCCGCGGATGGGTCGCACGTGGCGAAGCCATCTCGGCACCCTCCGCCTCGGCCATCACAATTTCGAATCCCGGTGAGCTACTAGTGCTTATTCGCTAACCCTTCCTCCGATGGCGCCAGTGGGTCGTCGGACGGAGACAGCGCCATTGTCGCGATTAGCCGCTCACCACTACGGCTCTCGGCAGTGCACCACCGAACCTCTAACCGCCGCCCACCCCTGAGGGTTTAGCCGTAGGTAGTGGTCGGTTCGTGGTTGCTATCGCAGTAAGTCTAGCGTGACCGATGCACGCCGGGAACCGCCCCGCTGCGAAGGCAGCTCTTTCCGAGGTGTTTTGTGCAAAGACCTAGTCTAGAGAAACAGTACCTCACTGCGTCGTTTGATTTCCAAAGAGCACATGCCCTCCTTTGCAAAAAAGCGGTCATGGCAAGGGCCGGCTTCCCCTCCTGGGCCGTTCTTTGGCCACTTTATGCATGCCACGCCTCGCGTTGGGCTCTTGGGCGAGTAAGTAAGTCACCGCCCTTTTCTTTTCTAAAGTGTTTCCTAATTTAATTTCTAAAAGCAAACTTGTAAATTCAATAGAAAATTTTGTAGTTAACCAAAAATTACGAACCAATTTTATTAAGTTCATAAAATTATGATCCATCTGCTAGTATATTTTGTTCACCTAGTTTCATAATACTTTCAAGAGTAACCTAATTAATTTGAATACTTAATATTGCAAAAACACAGAAGGGCAGGCCTGGTGCTGTGGTGAGAGCTGTCTCACTGAGTCACCAGGTCGTGGGTTCGAAGCAGCCTCTCCGCAGATTTGCGGGGGAAAGGCTTGCCACGGTTTTCCCCTTCCCCAGACCCCACTCATGTGGGAGCCTCCGCCACTGGGTCTGCCCTTTTTTAATATTGCGAAAACACAAACTTGTAGGAATTGCTGTGGCAAACTGGTAGTAGTGTTGGCTCTGGAATTTTTACACCAAAATCCTAACATTTTTAGGCGCCTACGGTAATTTTTGCGGCTCCAGAATAATTGTTTTGCTAGATTAGCTAATGAGCCCTAGTTCAAATATATATATATTAAACAAAATAAAGAAATACTTTGAAATGGTATAACTAAAATACTGTGGTAAAATAGCGCGTTGTCGACAACATGAGTACGTAGCTTAGTACGTTAGTCATTAAAGCCAGCTCGTTGGCTTAGCAATGTAATCATATTTTAGAGTGGCGATTGTCGTGATTATTTACATTTCCGCGCTGCATCCACGAATATCATAATAGGAACCACGATGGATCGTGGAGTCGACCGGAGTAGCAGAAAAGATGGTGTCTGGATGATCGGGTCGCCACAATGGAATGCTAACTGTTGGTTATATCCTACCCAGACAAGCCCCGGTGCATAACCCCTATTATTCTGCACTTTAATTTATGCTTGTGCATTAAGTTTTCAAGAGTTGAATGAAAACCACTTGCATATATATATATATATATATATATATATATATATATATATATATATATATATATCCTATGAGTCCTACTAATATGTCAGAATCGTGTAGAATGCTATGCTATAGGATTTGGTAGAAATTGAGTGATTACCTGTCACTCGCGAGAGATAGGAAATATATTATTGTTGTTATTATATTACTATCACATGGAATATATATGGATGATAATTGGAGACCGGACGGAAAGGTACTTTGGATCTGGACTTGGTTATGCATTCGAGCGAGGCTCGGATTGCATTTGTTCCGCCTGTGTCAATTGAGGACCGTCCGTTGTTGTGGATGGTAGTCAGGTTACAGACTTATTATCCTGAGCACATACTTGCTTATGAGAGCGGGAAGGCTCGTTACGCTCTTATCGCAGGTTCCGGCTCTTTCCGGACCGACTGATTAGAGACGGGGAAAGGTGGAGGTCTAAGCATCATATTGAGACCGGGTGGGTTGATCTTGTTTGTGCCTGGGGTACAAACGGAGCGTGTGTTTTGGGGTACCCAGCTGGGATACATTGATTCGCGAATCACCGTTTCTGTGAGATGGTACGACTTAGCTAAGGTCTAACACCGTAGTAAGAATTGTAACTTGAAAGGTGATAAAATGGTTCTGATTGCTTACCACCTGCTTGAAAGTAGCATAGATGCTTACATAGAACGGTTAGTTAATGAACTGATGATGACTGCTAATAAAATTGAATATAGGAACGCACGTTTAGTAATGTTTCCGCAGATGCAATAACCCACAAGACAAATAAGCCTTACATATCCTTGGAGTCTTTTATTTTTCTCCTGCCGAGTAAGTCTTCCTGAGTACAATCGAGTACTCAGGGTTTTATTTCCCCTGTTGCAGGTGATCGGATGATACTTAGAACTGACTCTTGTGTGTGGAAACATCCTGGTGGGCTCAGAGAGGATTTCTTCACGCTACGACCGTAGTATTTATTTATAACCCTCACTAAAGGTTTTTATAAGAAAATATGTAAAATCTGTTAGCATCTCTTGTATATAAATGTCCACTACGTTAATGCTCCACCATGTCATTAAATTAATCTTTGCTTCCTCTGTAACTCTAATAACATTGTTATATTCCGCTGGTATAATCAATTGAGGGTAATATTCTGTTACAATAATAAAGTGATGTAAGAAATGACTTAAGAATGTTGTGAACTGTATTCTCTCATTTATGATCCTGATGGAAAAATATGGATTTTCGAGTTCTTTCTTGGGGTGTGCTCGACGGAACTGCGTAGTTTATTGTCCTCTCTTGAGTACCTAGTGTCTAATGGAAGACGAGTACTCTGAGAGGCATTAGATTAGACGGTTCTGCCACACACCTTATCAAAAATCACGCTGGCATGTCATCAGTCTATCATAAAAGCAAGATCTTATTGCAAATTCATTAGGTTACTACAATGACATTAGCATAAATCAACATGTCAACTTCAGAATTTCTACATCTGTACACTCCCTTTTTTGGACAGAACACAGCTGCTGATTCATTTCAGTTGCATTAAACACCAGAAAACAGGAACAGCACTCAGGCACACACACTTGCACAATTCAGGGCTGTACTTAAGTTTGTGAGCTATAAATTTAGCTAAAACTTCGCAAAATTGTTTACCATTGAGGATCCCAAAACCAATGAACAACAGGGCCTCATCAATTTCAATCAGTTCAACAGTCAGTGAATGTCTGCATACCTCTAATTTCCTCATCAATTTCAATCAGTTCAACAGTCGGTAAATGTTTGCATACCTCTAATTTCCTAGAAATCGAAACTGCTTCAATACGCAGCTTTAGACGCATGAATTGTTTGAAATCCACACAAAACACAGGCACATCCAGCAACAAAAAAGAGCACTAAATCGAGATCTCGGAACATTGTAAAAGATCGACCCAGCGCAATATCAGGCGCAACTAATTTAGAACTGAGTTACACTTACACAATCCCTAAACGCTGCAAACCTAGGCACCTGCAACAACCTAAATACGAGTACGGCCGAATTAAGTGGGAGCTGGATCACTTACCATCGATCTTGACGCGGCCGGCGATCGTGTACCCCTCTCCAGATCTAGAGCCACCAGCCACAAGAGCCAAATCGGGAGAGCGGTCAGCAAAGCATCCGGCCGATCGGATCGCGGAACGAGCGGGGGTGAAGGACAGGGACACCTACCCGGCGATGATGCTGCCGCGGTGGTGCCGAGGAAGGCCGACGCGACGGCCACGAGGAGGAACAGGAGCAGGTGCCCGTGGCAGAGGGAGGAAGCGGCCATCGTCGCCGTCGTCGTCGTTGCTCGTCACGGTCGCCGAAGGCCGGAAGGGGAGTAGAGCTCGTCGGCTCGTCGCGGCCTTTTTCCTTTGGGGTGTTTGCGCTTCGGTTCGGTTTGGTGTTCTCGGAGTGGGCTGTGGGCTTCGGTCGAGGAGACGGAGAGTAACGGGCTCTTTTTTGGGCTTAAACACAATGGGCTCTATTTGGGTCTAGTTGGGCTACGCTAGTGATCCATCCTGACGGTCAGATCCGGCCCAGCGAACTGGAATCTGTGAGGTGACGGTGGCGGGCCCGCCGCGGCGCAACCAACCACACCGAGTTACGAGGGATGTCGACAGGTGGGACCCTTTTGTCAGTTAGTGTGACTCATCCCGATCCGTGCTGGCGTCTGGGGCTCTCTCTTTGCCGTTCCGTCACGGGTTAGGTTCTGTTTGGCAGGGCTTTACTTCATTAGTGAAGCTATTTTTTTTTGTTTCAGCTCCACGAATAGCTCCAACGGTGGAGCTGAAGCGGTTTTGGTAAACCGTTTGGTAAAATGGCTTTCCTGTGAGAGCATGTTTTTAGGGGCCTGGAGGAGGAGCCGGGAGAAGCTACTATTTTTGGCTCCTTCCCACCCCAAAGCTCTGTAAAAGCACGTTTTTAGGGGCTTCATCGGTGGAGCCGTTTTATTTTACCCGTTTGACAGAAAACGGCTCCAAACGGCTCCTGAAGCCGCTGGAGAAGCCCTGCCAAACGGGGCCTTGGTTTGCTCGCCAAACTGGACTGATTGGTGATTTGCCAACGCTGCGGCAGCGCCGCCGAGCACGAGCCCGCCGGGAGGCTCCTCCACCTGCCGCTCCAGGGTGCGCTGCCGCCATTGCTCATCTCCTCCTTTGTGGAGCGGAGATCCACCCGGGCGCCAATTGGTCTCCTCTTTCGTTGGCAGGTAATCCTAGGACGGCCTCCGTTTCTCTATGAGTTGGTCTTGTTCGCTAGCAGATCCAAATCTTCTCTGTCTCTGTCTCTACGTTGGCTCGGTGTGTTGTGTTTTGGCGTGCTGCGTGGTGGCCTGTTAGTCCAAATCCATCTATCCATGTTTTGCCTAGGTTCCTTTGCTTCTTCATCAGGCTCAAGATCACACTAGTTGGCTGGCATCACACTACTTCCTGAGTTCTTGGTGCCCAATTAAGTCGGGGATACAACGAAACTCGTGCGAACTGATGTTCCTGCAGAACTTATAATAAGCAAAATCAAACATTTTTTGCAACGGTTATATGTACTGAGCCTACTGATGTGTGAAGAAAAAATAGTTAGAACTACTATTCTTGTTAGATGGATGGTGAGTACGAAATCCCAAGCAGAAATGAATTCAATTGTTGGGATAGTTCCTATTTTCTGCACACCTTTAGCTCATCAAGGAAAAACCAAGTAAAGAGAGGTACTGTCGTTGGAATTGAAGTGCATGTTATCAGGTGCTGGAAACTGGAAAGACTTCTCTGTCTTCGTTTGTCCTTCCTCATCTGTACACTTGTGCTGCTCCGTATGTTCTTTCTTCTATTTGTTTGCTCTTACTATTTCTTGAATGACAGCTCTACGGCCAATAAATATGTAGTTTGGTCATGTTCTCTTATTCGTTTTTTTTTTTTCATGCTAGAGTACGGGCTGTAGGTTCAAGATTCTTTCT